TAGAGAGGTCAATGGACAACACGCATAAGTTGTAATATTAAGTTAAATTATGACTTAATTTAAAGTTTAGATCACACACATTACACTAGTTTTTATTTCACCTCAATCCATCCAGTATTACCGAAGATAGAGCCTCGAGAAGTTTACGGACTTTTTAAAATTTTCAAAAATTTCCAATATTCGCGCGTGACGTCACAACATGATNTTTATTACTTCCGTGCGGTACCAGGTCTAAAAACCTGGTATTAAGGTAGGTACATCATTACATTCTATTTTAAGAATACATCATAGATATATATTCATCACTTTCCTACACCGGACCCAATTGAAGTTATGCCTTTCGCACGACAAGGAAGACTATAATTTTCTTAGCCGCACGGTAAGCGAGACGTACACAAGGTCTATAGACCTGGTTTCGCACTCAACGTGTTAAAAAGAGCTATGCAATTGAAACTTTAATGAGTACCTAGTATTCAAAAATTGACTATGCATTTCAACAATTATTATAGTTACCATAGTTACCTACCTACCTAACTACATACGAGTGCCCTTGCGATTCGCTGGGCTCGTCTTGGCGAGGGCACTCCCGTACCCTCAGATTGTTTGAATTAAATTAAGCAGAACACTACTTTACAGTTTACCGATTAAGTAATTTCCTAATAAAGGTGAAGAAAAGTCAAGTCTTCTCTATGCGTGTTGCTACTAATATTAATTGAGAGAGACTGAGAAGTCATTTCAGCGCGATGGTGGACAGATAAACAGAAGGAGGTTTAAGCGAAGACTTAGGTGCAAAAGTGGCATAGCGTCTTGCTTACGTCTGTCTAACGTCTAGAGGTTTAGTGATAGATATAGTTCCAAAATACTGAACTGTCCTATCCATGACATTGCACACAGCGGGGCGCCACCGTCAATATCGGATCGCTGGTTCCGATTTTTGCCATGTTGGAAACCATATAGTTGAACGATGTTAGCCCCCCCTGTCATTGAGTTTGGTGGGACAGTTCAGCGTGGGTCATCTATATCTTAAAGATACCAAGCATTTGGTATTCACAGTGCTGACTCGGAATATGTGCTAGTGACATTCCAGCTGTTATCATGGTCCAGAATAGCTGAAACCTTATGAACTCCACAATCTATGCAACTAGCACTAACGCTGTTTACCTTAATTATTTTATAAAAAGAGTTCCTGGTGTAAATATTTTCTTGAAATATTGAGTGACTAAGACTGAGTTGCTGCACCATCTTCCCTTAACTTTAACAAACGTCATAAATCTGTCAAACANGTCAATTTGACAACCTTTGTCGAAAACATTATTCAATGAAAATATTGTCCGAACCCTTAGTATTTCTCTTCGACAAATACTTTAACACATTGTGAACCACTTTTTCTTTTACGACTATAAAAAGATTTTAGCAATTTAATTCACAAAATCAATTGCGCACATTTAAAATAAAGTTTGTTTATACTTTGACAGCAATAGACTGACACATAGAGAAAAGTAATACATAGGAAATACCCCGATTACGGTAACTTTTATAACGTCTACAATCCAGACGCGTTTCTGATTCTGCGATACGATTGGTCAAAACAGCTGACGTACGCCTTTGAACGACCAATCGTATCGCAGAATCGAGAAGCGTGTCTGGATTGTTGACGTTAAAAATTACCGTAATCGGGGCTCAGGACTGACATGCAAGGTGACATGTCAATGAAGTTTTCAGTTACTGTTGCCATTAAAAGAAATTAGTACCATTAGTTTTCCGCAACATGGCGAGGGTTTTTATGTTCCTGGTCAGGCTATAATAATGAAATAGGCAGATTCGACGAACATTATTTTATTGTATTAATACAAACGTTTGGACATAGGATTTATTTACATTAATTAATTAGTATATTGACCAAATAAAAAAAAACTTTCTTTTCCAAATACTTACTTCCTGCCAATAGGTAGGCAGTATCAAATTTTTAACATAGAATTTATGGAGTTGGTGGACGAGAACGACCACAGATGAGACAGGGAGGCCGTAGGGGCGCACTCGTTCACAGATTAGAGAGTATCGAATTTCTATGAGGTCTTAAGGCTAGAAATCGCTAGATATAAATATTGGAGGAATGAATAAGCCAAGATAACTGCGGAATATTTATTTAGCATTAACAAATGAAATTGCACATACATTTCAATAAAGCATATTTGAAAATAACAATGCATGATCTCTTAATTAAATTGCAACACATTAGTTAAGTACATTTAATAAATAAATATATACAATTTTTAATACATGTTATAAATTACACTTAAGCTAATAGAATTTGGAAAATATTATTGTGAATTATTTTATATGAAATTTAGAGATCCCATGAGAATAAGTGATGTTTTACCAACATATCTCTGACTCCTTCTTTCAATGGTTGATTTTGGGTGTCTTTCTTCACAGGCAATTCCCATTCTGGATTCAAATTGAAGCCAAACTGAGAAAGTATTCTTAATTCACACTTAATCTGAACCCACCCTGGAGAGTTTATAAAGGACCAAGGGTGATACCACTTCTGTACAACATCAACACATGAACATAGAACTTCAAGCCACAAATGTAAGGCTTCCTCATTCAAACCCATACATATGAGAGTACGCAATTTTACATCCATTTGGGCGTGGGCATTGTCATGGGATAAGTTAATAGCTTGAACACATCTATAGAGCAGTTCTTCAGGTGTCAGAACTTTTCCATCTTCATCCAAACGATATGTCTTACACAGAACTAGGCGACTGTATACTGAATTGAAGTCCTTTTCAACTTCTCGAGATGAAGCCTCTTCAATGAATAACCAGGGATGGCAAGGCCCATCAAGAAAGCTAGGTTTTTTAATTCCATGCAAAAGGACTCTCTTGAAAGCAGGCGCTAAAACACCTCTAACCAGGTGTGCAGCCTTTTCTGTGACTGAATCATCTCCAGCTCTGCTATATTTAACTCCTTTCTCATCAAGTAACTTGACGAATCTTGCTGGGAACCATCCTCTTAAACCATTTAGTTCGCCAATCCAACAGTGCTCATCCCTGGAGCTGATCACTTCAATGACATCATTTTTTCTGAAACCCAACTCATCTCCATCTCTTCTCTCAAAGTCTAGAAGAGCTTTGGCACGTCGCCTTTTGCTCCTGGACACATTGACATATCTTTCTCTATCAGCTGCATGACTTTGCATGGTATAGTCTGCTGTTAACTGCACTTCCGAAGCTAGTTGTGGCTCCAGAGCTAAGAAGTGGCGAGCTACTTGTAATATGGCTTCTCTGAGATCCACTAAAATTTCTGTTTGTTTTACATTTTTAGACACTGAATCATCATTGTTACTGTCTTCTCCAAATAGTATTGTTTGAATAACTGACTTGCTTCTTTTTATTTGTCTCCTTTGCAGCTGCTGCTTGGGAAGATTAGGCACAGCTCCAGGGTTTCCCACTAATGCACCTTGATCAGCCATTAGATATGCTAAATGTCTTCTTCGATGTGTTTCTATCAAGGTGGGGCTTAAAGTGTCACCACAAACTTCATCAATAGTTTTTATCAAGAGGTCAACATCATCTATTTCACCAGGAATATCAGATAGTGCATTAAATATCTGAGCAGAGTTTGAAATCTCCGTGAATCTGTTCTCCTTGATTTTCAACATTGCCAGAGTAACTTTGAAAAGAACAATAGAACCATCCAGGAAGAACAAATCCCAAATTCTTAGCAAAATCTTCATATTAACGACATTTGCATATAAGGTTAAAAACCAGTGCATAGTTATAAGAGAGAGTTCAATGTCATGTGCATTTAAAACTTGATCAATACCTGGCAAGTAAGTTGATATAAGACTTCTCAAAACCTTTTGGTCAGCTTGAATCCCAATTAATGTGGAAGAGTAATAAGAAGCTGGTAATAGATCCTCCACAGTTGTACACATGATCCAGAATGCTTCCTCTTCCTCCATAAGTAGCAAGAGTGAGGCAGCAATCATACCTGTGCCTTGACAATAACCTATATCAGGGTAAAGCCATGCCAAAGCACGCAAGATTCTGCGTAATCTTGGAACACCAGTACTTGTTGGGTGTGAGAAACAAACATTATTGGGCAATATTTGCACTAAGTCTTTCTCAATTTGTTTACTTGTCACTAATCCATCATCACTGGATGCTCTCACTATTTCATGATATGTTATTTCTGTGGAAGCACGCTTCTTATTGGCCCCACAAAGGTGCATCCAGACTTGAGGACGGAGAGAATGTGGTACACCATCTTTCACCATTTTCTGTAGCTTATCGTTTTTATTCAATTTGCCTTCTCTTTCAGAGAAGTTGATTTCTTTGCTGTAGAATTCCCATTGCAAGCGGTGTTGGTCATCTTCAACCAGAACGTTTGAAAGTAGTTTGTTGGTGCATTGTTCAGATTCAGGCACGTCTTCATCTTCAACACAAAAGCCAAATTCGTCAAATCTGTAGTCTGGAAGGCCTCCACCGTGGCCCTCCGACTCTGGTTGCACTAACTTCGCCATGATGTCCTGGGGTACCATACTCGGTGTGAGCGCTGAAAAAGGCCCCCCAGGGGTAGGAAGCAACTCATCTGCGATATTCAAGCCACGAATGGCATCGATTACATCTTCTGGGTCATCGTCTGCTAATGCTGCACTTATTTTACGTTCGTGATCTTCACGTCCTACATATCCGACATGGTCGCGTGAACTAAACAACGATTTAGCTAGATCCATTTCTTCAATGCATAAATTACCTTGATTACAAACAATGCAACAGTAACACGCTTTCACTCATCAACGCGAATTAATTTTTTATTGAACGAAATGAGTGCCAAACAAAATAAATAAAGGTCAAGTACGTCATAAACATCAAAAGTAGTGTTGTCCATCTATTCCATAATCGAAATTCCTACCGGTATGGATATACCGGTATTTTGGTTGCTGTCAGTGAACATCTCTTCAAGCATCTGATAACCGGTAAAATAGCAGACTTGACAGGAAGGAGGGGTTATAAAATAAAATGGCGACGGTTTGTTTTATTGATTAACGTAATCAGTATCAGTATTAACAATAAATCATTGTTTTGAGGAATAACGAGGAGTTTTAATTGAAATTGATACGACATATAAATAAATGTGACCCTTGGTGTCGGATGCGTCATACAATTTGTTATATCAGGTTCGTAAACACAGATTGTATACCAATCAGTCAATTCTTACCGCATTAATAAAAACAAGTGTGATACAAAACTAAACATCTACTATTTTAATAAGACCGTTTTTACATAACGCAATATTACAAACAGAATAGTAACAATAATGGCCAAACATTGCTATTAGGTTATTGTGTCAATTACAATTGTAATCCAGTTAGATTGCTATTTGCTTTATTTTCTATAGTATTTCTTCAATAGTAGGCAATTGTTGTTGTTAAAGGTGTTCCTTTGAACATTGCGATGGCAGTAAAAGTATGTTGTGTTCAGAAATGTAAGTCCCGTTCAACGAGAACTGAAGACATTGGTGTCACATTTCACAAGTTTCCTAGGGACCTGCCCCTGTGTGACTCTTGGGTAAAGGTTACGCGCCATGACGTTTCTAAAACCGATACACCAGCGTACGTTTGTTCGCGACATTTCCGTAAAAGCGATTTTCAATGTTACAAGGACTCAAAATATGTTCTGAAGTCAGGTATTTTGAGGCCCAATATTTAGCTTGTTAGTTAGTTATTTTCTTATTTGAGGACAAGCTATTCTGTGTTTTTTGTTGCAGTTATTCATGCATTGTCATAATTTCTGTTGGTATTGTTTTATTACTTATTTATTAAGTATTATAATTATATCTTACTTATCATTTGCAATGTGACACTGTAGTTCATTCTATCATCTTGATTTTGCATTTAATTTGAATGTTGATGCAAGTTATTCTTTCTATGTAAGTGCTGTCTTTAATTCCTTGTAGACTGGATTGAGTGTAGTTAAATGCATGAGTGAGGCAACCATGAAATATTGTAAAAAAACAAGAGTGTTTAATTTACAGATGCTGTTCCCNCTGTTCCTTCAATTTTCCCTTGGATAATCAAAATTAAAGCTAAAGACATGGAAGGAGCAACGGATTCTTTGTCAGAGACAAAAGAACCGCCTAATAGTGGTAAGGAGGGAGATGGAGAAAACTTGGATGCAATAAAGAAGTTTATAGAAGACCAGGAGAAAGAGTACACACAGCAAGAGACTAAGAAAGAAGATGATGCCACAGTGGAGGTTGAAAAAACGACTGAAAGCGATGGTTGTAAAGATTTTGACGAACGATTGGCTGTGGCATCGAGCATGATGGATATGATATTGAGTGAGTCAGAAGAAAGGATTGCCAAAAAGAAGGATGGTAACTCATCCAGGCAAATGAGCCCTAAAGGTTTGTTTCCATTTATTTAACAACTTTTCTTGTACTTTTACTTCTACATTTAAAATTATGTGTACATAATGATTTAAATATCTATGAAATTAATATGCATCTAAAATAAAAATATACTGGTAGTGATTATTATGGTTTGAACAATTGAAAAGGCTTCATGTATGTTCTTTCCAGGAGCCAATAGCATGTCTCTGTCGGTTGGCTCCAAAGTGGAGGCGAAAGACTTCGGCGAATTCTGGTATCCAGCTCAAATTTCCGAGGTTGACTATGATGAGATGGAAGTGTTGGTGCATTATGAGGATTCTTCGAAGAAGTAAGTTTTATACGTATTTGCATGATAGAGTCTTCCTGAATGTCTTTCTATCATGTATTAGCATGGAACAAACTCTCAGGCATATTAGTGATATTAAAAAGCTCAGTTTTTCAAGTCTTGTGAAATGAAACCTTAAGAGTTGGCGGAGTTTTGGGCTGACACTGTAGGTTTGTTGTCGACATGAAAAGAATAAGAAAACCTAATATTTTTACAAAAACATTCAGCTATCTACCATACACTTTATTTGCTGTTGGGTTTTTATATGTGTGTTTTATACAAAAGGCTGTCAACAATACAGGTAATACTGTGAAGTTGTAATGTGTTCTTGAGCCGACGCTAGCGACAGTCCGGCGCGCGCTGTGCCCGTCTTACGCCTTAAGCTCAGCTTACGCCTCGTGAACTGTACTAGACTAAAGAAAGTTCTATATCGACTATAACTTTCAATTCCAGGCACGACGAATGGATCAGCGTAAGCAGCCCCCGACTGCGGCCTCTCTCGGCCTCCGCTGTATCGTCCCCTGCACCATCCACATCGCAACCAGCGACCACCATCGCCCCAGTGGCTAGTACCAGCACTGCTGAGGAGCCCAAGCCCGTTGAAGACAAGAGCAAACTGACCTTTGTGGTGGGAGAGAGATGCCTGGCCAGGTGGAGGGATAGCAGGCGGTTCTTGGCTACGGTCAGCAAGGATTTGGGTGATGGTGAGTAATTACCATAAAGAAAAAAAGAAAAAGAGATTACAAAGAAAGAAATTAAGAGTTGAAAGTTCGTCTAACAGACTGGAGCTCATAGACGAGCGATAGTATATCGGCGATTGCTTGCGACTTAAGTCGGCGACAGTCGCCGATGCATCGCGACTCTCGAAGAGGCAGTCACTAACGTGTAGTCAGAGTGTGTCAACATGTCGTGAAAGCAAAAGGCACGAGTTGGTGACTGTCGCCGACAGACAGTCGCTGACCGTCGCCTACCACTATCGTAAGCGGTCGCCGTCATAATGTCGCTCATCTGTAAGCTCTCTTAATCCAATTATTCTCAAAGAAGCTATAAGATCCAGTATTCTTCAGGTTAGTTTGTGACTCAAATCAAAGTCATTATTTTTCTGAAGATTTCTCTCCTGAGGTCAAAAAAATCGATCTCTATTTTTTTTTTATCCAAAACTAAGTATGTAGCTCTTGGCCTGCATCTCACCTGATTGAAGTGATGATCATTGGAGAATTTTAGGATTGCCCAAATTATTTTTCCATTTTTTTATTTTTATTTTCTTTTTTTATCGCCAGGCTATATGGAAGTCCTATTCGACGACGGCTTCGTGTGGAAGTGTACGACTTCACGGCTGCATAAGATGAAAGATCAGTCGAAGCCGGGCCCTCTAACTGTTGACGTCACAACGGCTGGGACCTCCGCACATTCCCCAGTTTATGGGGCGGGGCCAAGTAGCGCCACGCCCACCACCCCCGCCCCTGCCTTCCACACTCATTTATTTGACCCCACCCGTGATTACTTAGGCTCGAAGAGCGAACGCCGCGAAATGAAGCGAAAGTTAAACATCAAGGAAATCTTCAATATTGGGCAGAAGAAAGCGAAGAAACAGGCAACTCCTACTGAGAAACCGGTGACGCCCAAACCTCCTGTGGAAAGGAAAAAACCGAGGATCATTAGGAAGAAACCGGCAGCGCCTAAAGTTGCACCACCTAAAGTTGTACCAAAAACGGAAATCCCAGGTAAGAATTTGGAGCAAAATCTAGTTTAGCTAAGAAGCCAAAGAGAGCTTTATTACCTTACTAGCGGCCGCCCGCGACTTCGTACGCGTGGACCTCGTTTTACTCCATTAGGGGTGGAGTTTCGTAAAATCCGCTCTTAGCATCTATAGCGCATACATTTAAAATTTCAACTCTCTTACTTTAAACACATAGGACTTTCATAATATAAACTTCACACCCTCCTTTTATCTCCTTAGCCCCCGTAGTTGATTTCTAATGATACATTTTCAGTATATGTACCACCACCACCACCACCATTTCAGCCTCCCCCAATGCTTTCCATGTTGATCGATTGGAAGCGGCCTGCGTCCAGCGCTTCCCTGCTACCTTTACGATGTCGTCGGTCCACCTTGTAGGTGGAAGTCCCACGCTACGTTTTCCGGTATGCGGCCTCCATTCCAGAACCATTCTGCCCCATCGGCCATCAGTTCTGCGTACTATGTGCCCTGCCCATTGCCACTTCAGCTTGCTAATCCGTCGGGCTATGTCAGCGACTTTGTTTCGTTTACGGATCTCCTCATTTCTGATTCGATCTCGCAAAGAAANAAATTTAATAATAGAAAAAACAACCCCCAAGGGTGGAAAATTGGGGATGAACTTTTTTATACGCAATATCTCCGCCGATTATAAATCAATTTGAACGATTATTTTTTTGTTGAATAGGTATTATCAAAAGGGTGGTTTCATGCGAATTTGAAGAAAATATTTCACCCCCAAGGGTGGAAAATTGGGGATGAACTTTTTTATACGCAATATTTTTAATTTTTCGTTTTTTTTTCGTGTTCACGCATTTGAAGTCGGTTTTATTTTTTTAAAAAGTTAATTATTATTTCATCACATCTTATTAAATTTGTTTAATAAGAGTAACACAATATATTTCTCTTTTAAGGTTGATAACGAAGAGTTGGCGCTAATCGAGGATTCATTGATGATTGATGATGCTTCTTCAGACAACAAGGAAAAACAGCTGCTGTCAGTCAGCAGTGATTTTATTTCTTTAGAAGAAGAAGAGAAAGAAAACATATCAAATGGCGGGCAGACCCCCGATAAAACGTAAATATTCAAGCAGGTTTAGTACAGAATATCAGCCCCCCAGGACTAACTATTTATATTTAGCACTTTCAAACACCATTCAAGTATCAGTACATTCAGTTGGTTTTATGATTTATGAATGTGTTCAATGTCAAGCACTTCATTTTTTAGGTGAAAAAATTAAAAATCATTTTAAAAATTGTTGTCATAATGGGAAGGTATAGTTACATAGACCCAGACAGTCTTAAAGCCAATTCCAGAATTATTATTAGCATTTTTTGTACCNCATGTTGTTATACTGTGACGTACCGCGCGACTGTTGACATTTATTTCAAAAATATGGCCGAGTTGGAATACTGTATAGATAGTATTACCGTGTCATAGACGAGCGATAGTATATCGGCGATTGCTTGCGACTTAAGTCGGCGACAGTCGCCGATGCATCGCGACTCTCGAAGAGGCAGTCACTAACGTGTAGTCAGAGTGTGTCAACGTCATGAAAGCAAAAGGCACGAGTTGGAAGACTGTCGCCGACAGACAGTCGCTGACCGTCGCCTATCACTATCGCAGCAGCCGCCGACATAATGTCGCTCATCTGTGAGCTCTCTTAAATCCAATTATTCTCAAAGAAGCTTTAAGATTCAGTATTCTTCAGGTTAGTTTGTGACTCAAATCGAGGTCATTATTTTTCTGAAGATTTCTCTTTTGATGTCAAAAAAATCGAACTCTATTTTTTTTATCCAAAACTAGTAGCTCTTGGCCTGCATCTCACCTGATTGAAGTGATGATCAGTGGAGTATTATTAGGTTTGCAGTGATTATTTTTTCCATTTTTTTATTTTTATTTTCTTTTTTTATTGCCAGGCTATATGGAAGTCCTATTCGACGACGGCTTCGTGTGGAAGTGTACGACTTCACGGCTGCATAAGATGAAAGATCAGTCGAAGCCGGGCCCTCTAACTGTTGACGTCACAACGGCTGGGACCTCCGCACATTCCCCAGTTTATGGGGCGGGGCCAAGTAGCGCCACGCCTACCACCCCCGCCCCTGCCTTCCACACCCATCTATTTGACCCCACCCGTGATTACCTAGGCTCGAAGAGCGAACGCCGCGAAATGAAGCGAAAGTTAAACATCAAGGAAATCTTCAATATTGGGCAGAAGAAAGCGAAGAAACAGGCAACTCCTACTGAGAAACCGGTGACGCCCAAACCTCCGGTGGAAAGGAAAAAACCGAGGATCATTAGGAAGAAACCGGCAGCGCCTAAAGTTGCACCGCCTAAAGTTGCACCGAAAACGGAAATCCCAGGTAAGAATTTGGAGCAAAATGTAGTTTTAGCTAAGAAGCTAAAGAGAGCTTTATTATCTTACTAGCGGCCGCCCGCGACTTCGTACGCGTGGATCGCGTTTTACCCCCTTAGGGGTGGAATTTCGTAAAATCCTTTCTTAGCGGATGCCTACGTCAAAACATCTACCTGCATGCCAAATTTCAGCCTGATCCGTCCAGTGGTTTGGGCTGTGCGTTGATAGATCACTATCTCAGTCAGTCAGGCAGTCAGTCACCTTTGAGTTACCAAAAGACTATTTTAGCTTCAATAAATTAAAGAGATTCTTTCATGCTCACATTTTTTTTTTTATAAAAGTACTGTATCACATGTTAACTCTATTTTGAAGGCTGAATATTCTTCAGCTTCATTTTCTTAGCTCAATTAGGCCTTAGTATGAACTCAGACAGCTTATTTGTCAATGTATATTTTAGATGCTGTGGCATCAATAATCGGGACACTCGAAGGCAGTCCCGCGCCATCACCTGCCGAAGTAAAACCAAAAGAAGAAAAAGAAACAAAAGAAGAAATTGCAGACACTAAAGTTCCAATTACCAAAGAAGTTACAGAAGATCAAGAAATGAAAGTGGAAGTTGGAAGTGAAGAGACAACTTCAGATGAGCCAGAAGTGAAGGATACTTTGGCAGAAATGTTGATCGACGTTGACGAAAGCAAGGACAGTATTGAGGTTGTGGACCCTACTAAAGACACTTGTGACACGTCGGATACAGCTGACAGCAGACCTGATAGTGATCCTGTAAGTATACTGTAGTTTATTCCAGGGATGTTATGGATATTCGTAACCGTAACCGAAACAATCGGATATCCGAAATAAAAAAAATATCCGTAATCGGAACCGAAACCGATTCAAAAGTTTCGGATAATCCGAAATGATTTCATATCCGTAACCGTTTCCATAACCGAAACTTCATATCCATAACATCCCTGGTTTATTATTACTACTGAACTTTTTTACACTGTGACTGTAAATTCGGCATGCTGAATATTTGATTTTTAAAATCATTCCTTTTCCAAGTATGAGATTGTTGATAATTTATAATCAGAATTCAAAATGGCAAAGTGGATATTTTAAAATGTATTTTTTTGCTCGAAGTCTATTTATTTATTTCGAACTTACATGCACATAACACTGTACTATCGGCAACAGTGTTAACTACCCATTGCCTGTCATGTCATCTCGTTCTATCGCAAAGAATCACCATTTGATGAGAGCGAGAGCAAAAACGGAAATGGGTAGTTAACAGTGTGACCGTGTGTACGTAAGGCAGACTTAATGCCAGTCGGCATTCTCCTCCAGTCAACTTTTCAATTAAGCACATTAATATGTATTATAAACGAGAAAGATCTGTAAAGTTTTGGGAGGATAGGACCTGCGCCTTTTTTTAGTTTTAAAATATAAAAATTCTAGTTTCCCATCACTTCTATTCTCTTCTAGGCGCAAGAAGACGTTAAGCTCGAGAAGTTCGAAGCAGTGGATGGTAAGCACGAAGAGGTCATCGACCGGATCAAGGTAGCCATTACAAAGTTGGAGGACGGCATCAGCAAGGCAGAAGGCTCGCCCAGGCCGGAGGTCAAGACCGAAGCGGCAGAAGTGAAGGAAGTGAAAGAGAAGAAGATTAAGAAATTGAAGATCAAGAAGGTAAATCATTTAAATCTTTTCGTGTCTGACTGTACGACGAGCGGCCACAGTGAGTGTGCGAGCGCGACAGCAATATAACCGATAAACGCACGAGCGATAAGGATGGGTAGCTTGGGGTCATTGTACGCAATTCTATCTGCTCGGCGACCGGACTTCAGTTTTTCCGATGGATTGTAGGATCAAGAATAACGTACTGAAATAAGTACGAATATTCATTGTAAACTGCGCTCTAAGAACTAAAATCGTCATAGATTTTTTACGCACTCGCTAGTGGGTTGTGTAAACTCGTTTGGTGTTAACTCATGGTAGTGGTAAAGCTACTGAACAAGGTCAGGTACCATCGGGTGAGATCTTAGATCTCATTATCTATCAGTTATCCTCAGATTCGATTGGCGTCAAACGCTGAAATACCTAAAAAATTCAAGAATGTTTGCAATGCATCTGATTCGCAAATTTCCATCCAACAGAGCAAAAAGCTGCGCATACTGCAAGAAAAGAAAGTGAAGAAACAAGTTGAGAAAGTTAAATCCGAGCTAGAAGTGATGAAGCGTCAGATCGAGGTGATGAGGCGGCAGATGGTTAACTCGGACACCACGCAAGAGTTGCCGGAATCGTTCCTACTGCCAGGCGAATGGTGTTGCAAGTGGGTGAACGGACAGCCGATTGGGAAGGTGTGCGAGTTGGAGATGGATGGGAAGGAGAAAGCTGGTGGGCTGCCAAGGAGAAGTGTGCAGGTAAATATTGTTCCATAACCGTTACAAAAGCTTGGTATCCTTCCTTTATTTTTAGCGAAAAGTCTTTCACTGTTGGACAAAGGCCTACCCCAATGATTACTAACGACCGGTCCTGCGCTGGCGTCATCCAGGCGCTTCTCGCGACCTTCACTAGATATTCAATTTAAATCTCAAGCTCTTTTCGTAGACATCTCGTAGAACTGATGCGACCACGGACCAGATGATGTAGTGAAGGTAGGTAGGCGTTCCACCGACACGGGAGCCTGCCTTTACTACTACGTCTTCACTGTGGTCGCATCAGTTCTACGAGATGTCTACGAAAAGAGCTTGATATTTAAATTGAATATGAAAATAATATAGTTTACATTCTACAGTTATACATAATTAGCAGGACTCTGGCTTCTAATAAGATTTTTCCTGACGAAATCTTATTTTTAAGTGGCTCTGATAAAAATATTCTTATTATTTTATAGGTGGAAGACAAAAGGTTGCCAGCGGGTTGGACGAAACACATGGTTCGCAGAAGTTTAGGCAGTTCAGCAGGAAAATGGGACGTGGTTTTAGTGAAGTAAGTGTTTTATTATTATAAAAAGACCTCTTTTTGTACATAAATGAAATTTTAGAACACTATAAGTATTCTATTCTGCTAAAAACACGACACGAAACTATTTGGCGCCAGTGTGGGATAAAGTCTTATAGTTGGTTACTCAATAGTGGCTAAGACAGTGGCGCTATTTAGTGAGCACTCAAGCAATAGGAGGACTATCGCATTTGCAAGGTCCTGAGGGCTGAGTGTGAGTTTACCTCAAACGTCGTCGCTAGTGAGCACGTAACAAAAATGACATTAAATGTATGACGGATTGTACAGCGCCCCTAGCGGAAACTTTCAAGAACTAAAATTTTCATATATTTATTTAATGCGCTCACTAGTGAGGACGTTTGATGTAAACTCACAATAAGCCCTCTGTTATTCACCAGTGTTTACCAACTAGTGGTTGCAAATACAGTAACCTGCCTTTCTTAGGACAGCGTAGTGTGGTGTTACCTTCTCTTCTGTGTATACAGGATGTACAGTGTGTTTGGGATAGGGCTAGCGATAATTTAAACGTGCCCGTCAAAACTGAATTTTTTGACAATAACTAAAATTCATTATTTTTTTAAGTTTTTTGGTCATTATTATTTTTTTTTTTTTAAGGACACATATGCAATTACAAATGCAATCTTTTATTTATCTGTAAGACGGGCACATAAGAAATAAAATCAATTTTTATGTAGTCACATAAAAAATTAAGCCCCCCATTCCATTCCAAGAGGAGGGGGGAGGGCCCACATATGGGGGCATTTTTGTCGATAAAATTGACATCACAACACCGCCTTAAATTATCGCTTGTCCTATCACCAGAGTAAATACAAATGAGTAGGTCATCTTCATAGAAACGCACCGAGCGCGGTTTGTATGTGAGCGCGCCAATATACGTATGCGGCGCGCACGTACACACTGACAAAATTCGGCGCAACCACGACTGGGTCCCCGCTAATCCCCGCTAAATTTTGTCAGTGTGTGCCTTATCACAAACACACTGTATATTATTCTTAAATAAATAAATAACAAAATCACTTTTCCAGTCCAGAAAACCGGCGTTTCCACACTCGCACTGATATGCGCAACTATATGGAGTCGCACCCTGATACGGCCACGCGGCTTAAAGACTACGAGGCCGTGCTCATGGACTTCGGCGTCCATCTGAAACTGGCGCGGCGGATGGGCTGGGTCGTCTCCACGCCAGGTCGGTATCCACTCACTTGAAGATCTATCTGTCACAGAATCATCATCATCATCATCATTTCAGCCATAGGACGTCCACTGCTGGACATAGGCCTCCCCCAATGCTTTCCACGTTGATCGATTGGTAGCGGCCTGTCGCATAATATCTTTCAAAAACCGGGAATTTATGCCGTTTTCTATCCAATCTTTACTATATGGTGTTTCACTAGGTCCCAAACTATATCTTCATCAAATCAGTTCGGAAAAGGTAACAGATAGCCTGACAGTTACTTTCGCAGTAGTAGTTGAACTGTCCAGGAAAGCCACTGTAGAGTAAGTGTAAGGCCCTGTCACTTGCCAGTGGTCCTAACTGTTAAGTACTTGTAGGGATGTTATGGATATGTAGTTTCGGTTATGGATACGGTTACGGTTAGAGGAATAATATTATACCGGTTTCGGTTACGGATATTTTTTTCGGATATCGGAATATTTCGGATATTCGAAAGTTTTGGTTACGGTTACGGACATCCATAACATCCTTGCTGTTAAGTCCTCATTGTATTACAAAATAGAATAATAGATTTTGAATGCTCATATATCGTATATTTATGGTTATCGTTTATAAAAACTGACACGGGTAACCCCCTTTAAAGTGCCTATTTCCCCCCAGATGGCGTAGCTGAGTCCCCAGTAGTGTCGCTCCCAGCGGGCACGCTTTCTTGCACATCGCCTATAATCAAGCGCAAGAAACTAAGTCTGAAACGGCCGCGAGAGGCTCCCAAACAGAAGAAGATGAAGCGCGTCATCAAGATGCCTAAGTATCTGGTGAAGGTATGCGTTGTCTCAAAGAAATCATCATCATAATTATGTACCATCCTAGACTGCATCCCACTTAACACCAGGTGCGATTATGGTCGAATACCTGCCTTGTTATGCATAAAACATCATCATTTCAGCCACAGGACGTCCACTGCTGGGGGCGTAGTGTGAGTTTACGTCAAACGCATTCGATATCGACTGCGTAAATAAATAAATAATAAATAAATATCCTTGGACATTTTACACTGCGCTTCTAGTCCCAAACTAAGCAAAGCTTGTACTATGGGTACTAGACAACGGATATCATACTTAAATACTTTTTTTTTTAAATACATACTTATTATACATAGAAAACACCCAGTCCAATAAAAACAAATATGTTCATGCCCACAAATGTTTGTACTGTGCGGGAATCGAACCCGCTACCTCCGGAATAATAGTCCGTTTCGAACCACTACACCAAACGGCCGACGATTTCGAATGCGTTTGACGTAAACTCACACTACGCCCCCTGAACATAGGCCTCCCCCAATGATTTCTACATTGCCTTCGCCGTCCTGCATCCAGCGCCTTCCGCTACCTTCAATGCTCAAAATTGAGGAAATGGGAGGGAATAATTAAGAGTAGGCGCACACCGTTGATTTTTAGTTGGCCGATAGTTGTGCCCGATTTCAAATTGTATGAAGAATCGGCCAAATCGAATCGGCGTAGTTTGCGCACTCCCATACATGCCCACACTGATCAACTGCCCGACTAAACTATCGGCCGACGAAAAATCAACGGTGTGCGCCTACTCTTAAGGTGGAGATATTTGTCTGACGTAATGTGTCGTGATGCATCAGAAAGGAATCGATTTCATATATTTTTAGGTCTGGCGCTTAACTCAGCCAGTGCCTGACGTATAGGAGCGACGCGGGAGTGATTTTGTGACGGTCAAACGTCAGGGAGACTTCAGATTTGTATGCCCTGTCACGTCCTAATATGTCACCCCTCCCGTGGCGCTGTGGCTTTTGACTCAAGTCATTGACTGCCTATTAGGCCCAGAACACACAGTGAAGCACAACTGCAACGAAACTGCAACTTCTAGTTACTTTTGAGTTGCATCTAAGTTTCTGCCATAGCGTCCGTTGAGAGACCACACATGACGCGACCAGTTTGAAACCGATTTGAACTGGTCACGTCATGTGTGGTCTCTCACCGAACTCAAAAGTAACTAGAAGTTGCAGTTTCGTTGCAATTGCGTTTCACCGTGTGTTCTGGGCCTTAATGTGTGTTTTTATTTCTTTACCACAGAATAAAAACAAAGAGCTGGGTCCAGGAACGTCTAGTACTCCTTCTACTTCAGAAAACGATCCAGCAGCACTGCCTGAAGAAAACTACCCGCCTTTAGAAGATGGATACGGTATGTATCAAACATTAATAATCTCATTGAATCTTGTTACAACATTTACACAATTTTTTAAAAAGAACACATGAAATGAATCAACTGGTCATATGAATCCAAAAGAGGGGATGGTGCTTCGCTTTACTCTGATACATTTTTGATGTTAACGTTTAATACTTTTAAATTATTTCTTCCAGTATGGGTCGGTTCCTTGAAAGTGCAAATAATAGAGAACCTCCTCCGCTGCCCAGCCGAAGGGTGTTTCAAGAACTTCAGAAACAACACCCTACTCCAAATGCACATAAAACACTACCATCGAGAACTTCGAAAAATGCTCGGTCGAACGCCGAAAGTTCTGGATTTGGCGTATGCCAGAACTATGCCAGAAAAGGCACTTGAACCAACCAAAACAAGGGAGCCCGACTTGAAGACTATCAAAGTCAAAGTCCCGAAGCCGCCTAAACGGGTCGTTCAAGAAGAAATTAAAACAGAAGTCAAAAAGGAAGAACCTATGGACTTACAAATCGACATTCCCTCAACGTCGGTAAAACTTGAAGATACCCCAATGCCGAAGTTGCACGATTCTCCTAAACTCCGCCAAGCGTTAGTCCACAAGCCAGTGAAGCGTCCCAAAGTGCTGCTACCGGTTCGAAGACCGGAGTCCGAGGATGTCAAAGACGAGCAGTCTAACGATTTTGACGATTCGGCCGACATGCCGATCGAAGTTTTGGACTTCGAGACGGAGATATCGACGCATACTGTGACGAAGCCTGTTGATTTCAAGAAGAAAGAGAAACGGGGTAAAGTGGCCACGTTGAAACCAAAGAGTGAGGACGATGAGTGGTTCGGCCCGGCTTCGGATGTGGAGACTCGGTCGAGTTTCCCGCGGTCGGGCACGCCGGATTACAAGAGAATGGAACAACACGCCGGCAATTCGGAGTCGAATGAAGAGCAGCAGCGGGAGAATGAGTATGAATATAATCCTGAAAGTGAGTACTCTTCTATGTTTTATAGGATTAAGAAATGTTGAATGTAGACCTCTATTGTCAAAAATAACGCAGAGATCACGAATAGCATTTCATAACGTAAAATTTAATGTATCCGCACACGCGACAATCACTTTGGCTGACCAAAAGACTCCCACAAAGTTTCCACGAGCGGTCTTTGGTCCACTTAGAGGTCGGCCTGCCCATATTGCGTTTTCCAGTCGTCCTCTGCCCCTTAAGTTTGACAATACTGCGGACTATGTCGGTTACTTGAGCTTTCCTACAGATCTCATTTCTCATTCGATCACGTTCGCGACAATGAGGGTTATCGTTTTTTTACTTAACAGTTGGCACCCCTGGCGATTGACAGGACCTTACTCTACAGTGGCGCTATCTTGATGAGTGCAATTGCAATAGTCCTCCTACCACTTTAGCGCTCACCAGTTAGCGCCACTGTCTTCGCTACTAGCAAGTGACAGGACCTTACTCTACAGTGGCGCTAACTGGTGAGCGCTAAAACGATAGCCCTCATTGCATTGTTTCTAACCGCCGTGTACATTTCAGCCGGCGAGCTGATGAAGATTGAGCACATGAAGCGCGAGGAGATCATCAACTGCCACTGCGGCTTCCGCGAGGAGGACGGGCTCATGGTGCAGTGCGAGCTGTGCCTGTGCTGGCAGCACGGGCTGTGCCACAACCTGCGGCACAGGCTGGAGGCGAGTGTTGTCACTTGTAGACCATCAGACATCAGGTGTGATACAAGCGCGAGGGATCATCAACTGCCACTGCGGCTTCCGCGAGGAGGACGGGCTCATGGTGCAGTGCGAGCTGTGCCTGTGCTGGCAGCACGGGCTGTGCCACAACCTGCGGCACAGGCTGGAGGCGAGTGTTGTCACTTGTAAAGTCCGGTCGCCGAGCAGATAGAATTTCGTACAATGACCCCAAGCTACCCATCCTTATCGCTCGCGCTCACACTCACACAGCGGTCGCGCGTCGCACAGTCGCGACAGCAATATAATTACGCGCGAGTGATAAGGATGGGTAGCTTGGGGTCATTGGACGAAATTCTATCTGCACGGCGACCAACCAATTTTTTTTTACAATGGATGAAAAATACGCATGCGTGCGTCACTCATGTGCTCGCTCGTGATTCCCTTGTGGATTAAACCCGCCCGGGTACGCCGCGCGTGTTTTGTTCTCGATACCTACTCAGGGAGATGAACAGGCCTGCTAATAGTCACAGGGTAAAAGTATTAACCATTCCTAATATAGTTATAGCTCTTCGAAGATCAATTTCATTTTTTAAAGCTGTAATATTATTCCAGGTGCCAGAAAAATACACGTGCAGCATTTGCTTGAACCCGCGTCGGGGGCGGCGCTCGAAGCGGTTCCTGCATGATCAAGACCGCTTATTTGACGGCACCCTCCCGGGGGCGAAGCCCAGCGACACACTGCGTCGCTCGCACGAGCTGTCCGGCAACCTTCACTTGATAAGGGACGCACTGCACTCGCTGAGGGTCAAATACCATGTTGCCACGTGAGTCATCGTCTTCATCATAGCACCTAAAGCACTATCGCGTTCAGACACCATGGTGGTGCCGCAGGGCACACCATACAGCATGATTTCCCAATATTTTTATCCAGCTATATTAAATAAAAATAATGTATTATCAGACAATGTAGTCCATATCTTAACTAGTGAAAATATGGGACTATTCAGTGTAGCCAGGATCTACAGCTTACCAGTAAAGACCAAAGCCTTCGGGAAAGTAAGACTGTCATTGGACTCTAAGGCTGAGTTGCACTACCTAACTTTAACTATAACGATAACTGGTGTTTTGGTATGGAGTTTGATATACCTTTGACGTTTGCTAGAGCTAAAGTAAGGTGGTGCAACCCAGGGGCAATGAAATTAATATAACCATAAAAATTTGGCACAAATTAGGCGGTCTTATCCCTACCCACATTTCCAGACAACCCTGGAGAGGATAGTTATTTGAAATAACAACAAGGTAGCTGCGATAATTACTAACATATCCAATTCTTGTTCACAGTAAAAAGAACCACCCAAAGCTATACCTATGGGCTGACAAAGAATGGGACACGGAGGAGGTGACCCAGCCTCAGGACAAGCCCAAGCTGGACTACACAGACTTGCAACTGATCAACATCGACAAGGAGAACCAGCCGGTACAGGACGACTTGAACGCGCACATCGACGTCACCACGCCTTCCGAAGACCATGACAGGTCGGTGACAGTGATATTTGATGATTTTTGTGGCATAATATTTAGTTTGAGTTTACATCAAACTAGTGATAAAGCCTGGTCCGTGAGCACGTAGAATCCCGTCCAATGACTCCAAGCTACCCATCCTTATCGCTCGCGCGTAATTATATTGCTGTCGCGATTGTGCGACGCGCGCCCGCAGTGAGTATGCGACCAGGCTTTAGTGAGCGCGTAAAAAAATGTTTTTTTTTCCATGGCTACATTAAATGTATGACGGATTGTATAGCGCCCTAGCGGAAACTTTCAACAATTAAAATTTTCATATTTTTTTTAACGCGCTCTAGTTCACTAGTGAGGACGTTTGATGTAAACGTCCAATGACCCCAAGCTGCCATCCTTATCGCATACTCACTGCGGTTGCCCGTCGCACAGTCGCGACAGCAATATAATTACGCGCGAGCGATAAGGAAGGGTAGCTTGGGGTCATTGGACGAAATTCTAACTGCTCGGCGACCGGAGTTTTGTTTTGTTTCTTTAGTTGCTGAATAAATATTTTCGTCTAGAAGTAGTAGATTAGTAAGAGACGGGTCTTAACGCGACGTTTATTAATGAGTTATATTATGTACTCACGGCTTGACGTTTCGAATGCTATGCTGCAGCCCCCTGGTCACAAGCAGACTGGCGGCTCGCGGCGTCGTCCGTTCGGGTGGGCTTGAACATTTTCAACTACCTCATCGCGTTAAGACCCGTGTCTTACTTATGAGGGTTTTCGCGAATGAAAGATCCGCTAGATGGCGGGACGTGGATGTGGGGTCTGGATTTTGACATATCTGTCAATCNGTGCGAGCTGTGCCTGTGCTGGCAGCACGGGCTGTGCCACAACCTGCGGCACAGGCTGGAGGCGAGTGTTGTCACTTGTAAAGTCCGGTCGCCGGGCAGATAGAATTTCGTCCAATGACCCCAAGCTACCCATCCTTATCGCTCGCGCTCACACTCACACAGCGGTCGCGCGTCGCACAGTCGCGACAGCAATATAATTACGCTCGAGTGATAAGGATGGGTAGCTTGGGGTCATTGGACGAAATTCTATCTGCACGGCGACCAACCAATTTTTTTCACAATGGATGAAAAAAACGCATGCGTACGTCACTCACTGCTCGCTCGTGAATCCCTTGTGGATTAAACCCGCCGCGCGTGTTTTGTTTTCGATACCTACTCAGGGAGATGAACAGGCCTGCTAATAGTCACACAGGGTAAAAGTATCAACCATTCCTACTATAGTTATAGCTCTTTGAAGATCAATTTCATTTTTTAAAGCTGTAATATTATTCCAGGTGCCAGAAAAATACACGTGCAGCATTTGCTTGAACCCGCGTCGGGGGCGGCGCTCGAAGCGGTTCCTGCATGATCAAGACCGCCTATTCGACGGCACCCTCCCGGGGGCGAAGCCCAGCGACACGCTGCGCCGCTCGCACGAGCTGTCCGGCAACCTTCACTTGATAAGGGACGCACTGCACTCGCTCAGGGTCAAATACCATGTTGCCACGTGAGTCTGACACTATTATCCGGGCCTTTTCAAGGCGCGAGTGAATAAGCACTTACAGGGCAGATATGTAACATCCTAGACAGCATCTCACATAACATCAGGTGCGATTGCGGTCAAATACATTCCATGTTCTGAATAAAAAAAGGAGTCATCATCAAATTCATAATTATATCCCAAGAAAGAGCACAATCACCTGCAATTTTCATCTCTCTGCATCTAGTGAATTACGAGATTATTCCCACTTTTCCTTTTCACCTTGAGGATCTATAGCATGACTGCCAATAAAAACCCAGATAGTAATGGCCCAGCAGAAAGTTAAACTGCCATAGGATCAGCAACGAAATTAATGAATTGTAAAAATAATCCCGGTTTAATTACTAGGAAGAGAAATTATATTTTTCAGGCAACCTTGAACAGGACAGTTATTTGAAATAAAAAGTGGGAAGGCTATGATATTAGGACTACTAATGTCACATAAGTCCATAGAAGACTTAGGTGACATTTTATCGGAAAAAATCTCATCCGCGAATTTTTGATTACCTTTGTCTTTTCCATTCTTAGCATTTAATTAAATTAAATATATTTCGGATTAGACGACACTTCCAAGTTAGAAACGATGACGTTTCATCCGAAGATAAATATTTTGCGGATGATTCGACACCTAACAATTTTGAAAGGGAGACAACTCATCCGCGGATGAGATTTTTTCGGATGAATTGTCACCTAAGTCGATATCAGTACTTCTTGAGCCTTAAACCACTCGGCTGTTGAAAAAAAATTAACATATCCAAATCCTTTTACAGTAAAAAGAACCACCCAAAGTTATACCTATGGGCTGACAAAGAATGGGACACGGAGGAGGTGACCCAGCCTCAGGACAAGCCCAAGCTGGACTACACAGACTTGCAACTGATCAACATCGACAAGGAGAACCAGCCGGTACAGGACGACTTGAACGCGCACATCGACGTCACCACGCCTTCCGAAGACCATGACAGGTCGGTGACAGTGATATTTGATGATTTTTGTGGCGTATTTATAGTTCCAAAATACTGAACTGTCCTATCCATGGCATTGACAGTGGGGCGCCACCGTCAATACCGGATCGCTGGTTCCGATTTATGACGGACGGACGAATGTATGTCGGATTGTACAGATCCGCTAGATGGCGGGACGTGGATGTGGGGTTTGACTGCTGCGTGATTGGTGGATTTTGACATATCTGTCAATGTCATGTCAAAAATAACCAATCATGCAGCATTTGGACCTCGCGTCTACGTATTGCCATCTGGCGGATTTTTCCATTCGCGAAAACCCTCATTAAGCGCGAAAGATAAGGAAGCTTGGGGTCATTGGAAATTGTATCTGTTCGGCGACCGGATTTTTGTTTTGTTTCTTTTGTTGCTGAATAAAGATTTCCTTATTCTTATTGGCAGATACAGTCAACGAGAGGGCCAGGCGCTGCNGAAACAAGCGGGCAGCTCGCGCGGCGCTTTAGCGGCGAAGTGATGTGTTCGGGGTTGTGTTGTCGAGATATTTGTTTTTATTCGCAAACGAAATGTCTGAACAACGCGCGACAATTTTATTTCGATTCAAATTTATTCCTAACGCTCGATTTATTGTGGGCAAAAGAAAGAGTGCGCTGCCCGCTCGTTGCCCGCTCCCGCGCCGCTGCCCGCTCGTTGCCCGCTCCCGCGCCGCTGTTTTCGAGAACCGGTCTATTTGATTTTACGCATAAGATCCTGCCGCTCCCGCGCCGCCGCCGCTCCCGCCCCGCTGCCCGCTAAACTCGAGGCTGAGGCCTCAGCGGCGCCGAGCTCGAGCGCCTCGCCAGCGCCGTGCCGGACCACGGTACTGTACACAGAGGGCGCTGCTGCTGCTAGCATTGGTTCCCAAAGTGGGAGGCGCGCCCCCCCAGGGGAGGAGCAAAGACCTTTAAAGGGGGGCGCGGGCCATCTCCAAAAATCCTGCGACCGCTGAGAATGCATTCCAGACTGCTCGATACGACCAATAAATAATCTTGACTGGAGGAGGGACGGGGAATTTTTTGTATGGTCGAAGGCGCGTCTCAAATAAGTTTGGGAACCAACTACAAGCAGGACCTACTGGACTACTACTAGACTACTGGACTGGACTAGGAGCTACTGGAAACCCTGGGCATTTAAGAACCAAGAGGGCCCTTTCCTTTAAAAAAAGGAAAATTATAGAACTCTTCACTGATTTGGGTCGCTTAATCGTGGGGCTCTGGGCTCGTGCCTGGAGTGCCTAGTGGGAAATAGGGGCGTGGCTACAAGCTGCTGTGTACATGATTATACAAACCAATCGAGCTAACTGCGCACTTCAATGCGATTTTTCCTTCCACTTACCCGCACACACGGGAAGGCCGTTCGTCCAATTTGTACCAGAGCGTCAATGTGACGTCACGGCCGCCAGCTGCCCAGTTTTTTTTTTAAAGCTGCCATTTACTCGTAACTGTGAAAAATATTTGAAAAATGATTTTTTGTAACATCATAGACATATTTCTTTTGCAGTAGTACAACCGCCCATAGTGCCGCAGCCAGAAGCGGCCATAGACAACGGGGTGTGTCGCGAGCGCTTGTTGCGCCACATCCAGCGCTGCCAGGCCGCTCTCGACTCCCGGCTGGATACCATCGAGGCGACTGTCGCGGGTGAGTGTCTCCACCGTGATCATAGACCATAGAGCTCAGCCCGGCCATAGACAATGGGGCGTGTCGTGAGCGCCAATGGTGAAAGAGCGTCATTGACTATGGGTCTATGGGGCACAGATCAAGGATGAGTGTAGTTTAGTTAGACGCCAGCTTAGTCCGGCCAGGGCCGTCTTTAACCTACCAGGGGCCCTGGGCACTTAAGGATCAAGGGGGGCCCTTATCATCTGGAAAAAGTTCTTTTGAGCAGACGGGGGCCCTCTCGATCGCGGGGCCCTGGGCACGTGCCCAGTGGGAAAGAGGGGCCTGAGTCCGGCCGTAGACAATGGGGCCCATAGTGCCGCAGCCAGAAGCGGCCATAGATAACGGGGTGTGTCGCGAGCGCTTGTTGCGCCACATCCAGCGCTGCCAGGCCGCTCTCGACTCCCGGCTGGATACCATCGAGGCGACTGTCGCGGGTGAGTGTCTCCACCGTGATCATAGACCATAGAGCTCAGCCCGGCCATAGACAATGGGGCGTGTCGTGAGCGCCAATGGTGAAAGAGCGTCATTGACTATGGGTCTATGGGGCACAGATCAAGGATGAGTGTAGTTTAGTTAGACGCCAGCTTAGTCCGGCCAGGGCCGTCTTTAACCTACCAGGGGCCCTGGGCACTTAAGGATCAAGGGGGGCCCTTATCATCTGGAAAAAGTTCTTTTGAGCAGACGGGGGCCCTCTCGATCGCGGGGCCCTGGGCACGTGCCCAGTGGGAAAGAGGGGCCTGAGTCCGGCCGTAGACAATGGGGCCCATAGTGCCGCAGCCAGAAGCGGCCATAGATAACGGGGTGTGTCGCGAGCGCTTGTTGCGCCACATCCAGCGCTGCCAGGCCGCTCTCGACTCCCGGCTTGATACCATCGAGGCGACTGTCGCGGGTGAGTGTCTTCACCGTGAACATAGACCATAGACAACGGGGCCCATAGTGCCGCAGCCAGAAGCGGCCATAGACAACGGGGTGCGTCGCGAGCGCTTGTTGCGCCACATCCAGCGCTGCCAGGCCGCTCTCGACTCCCGGCTGGATACTATCGAGGCGACTGTCTTCACCGTGAACATAGACCATAGAGCTCAGCCCGGCTATAGACAATAGGGCGTGTCGTGAGCCCTTGCTTTGAGATCCAATGGTGAAAGAGCGTCATTGACTAAGGGGCACAGATCACAAATGAGTGTAGAGTTTAGTTAGACATCTCTCACACCTCTACCTATCGACACCAGTGATGACCACACAGCATGTAAAAAATCTTATGAGATGACGTAAGATCTTCAATTAAATATTATAAAATAGTTTTTATACATTGCAGAAAAACTCAAAATCTTGTCTATGGTTCCTTAGCTTTAATAAGACAAATTGTTACAAATCATTCATAATTTGAAAATAAATGTATTGTTTCAGAACTGGAATCCCAAGACCCGCTGTTCGAAGACGACGAGACAGCGGAATACTTCCCTCGCACCAAGCAGACCATACAGATGCTGATGCGGGATCTCGACACCATGGAAGAGCTAGGCACCATCACATAAAGTGGTCTACAACTATTGTAGTTTTTTACTTTATTATTACAATATTTATAGATCGTTTCATCCACGAAGACGCGCCCCACCATTCTCCGCTAATGTTTGAGTGTTATCGGTACACGATAAATTATCCATGAGTGCACACGCACACTACAATAATGACGCTCGGATTGCTCGGATCAAACTCCCCGCACCCCGTGCTTCCCTCAACCAAAATTGATGGGGCGCGTATTCGTGGATGAAATGATCTATAACCATATCTCTGCAGGACATAATATTTTGCTTACAAATATATTCATAAAATATTAAGTTGCCATAAAAACTATTTGAAGTCCTGCAGTTAGTATTCATTTATCTGTATAATTAAATCAATTAATGGATTAAAAATCTTTGAATATTATAAATATTGATGTGATAATTTAAACGCTTGTAGTTCTTATTTAGAGGCTGTGTTCCATAATGAACTTTTATTTGCAAAATATCCACCACTGATGTTTAGTTATTAGAAATATGCAATTGTTTATTATTAAATAAGAACAATATAATCCTTATGTCTAAAAACATGTTTTTTTACTAAGTATAACCTACCACACAAACCCAAATAGGAATCAGAAAAAAGGCAGAAAGGCGTTTAAAAATTTTATTACCTTAAAATTACCCATACAAAAAACACTCAACCTTCATAGAACTTAGGCAGCTTATCACCCAGGATAACAGAGCGCTCTACGCCTGCCTCAGTGATCACTCCGAGACGAACCACACCTCCCGAGGACCCATCACGGAGGATGGCCAGAGATAGTGTGTTCGTGACGAACTTGACTGCTTCTTCCTTGGTCATGTTGGGCTTGAAGTTGGCATCTACATAACCATACACATAAGTGGAGCCGGAGCCTCCGATAGAAACAGCCTGCCGTTGCACCATACCACCAATGGGCACGGAGTAGATTTGACCTGTAAAGACATTATTTATTGTTAATTTCTTTCTTGAACTCTAATGTGAGGCCATGTGAAGGACAGTCATGACAAAATGTTTATGATCACCAAGCAATAAAGTATGACAAGGTCCAAAGCTAAGGTTCACATAACTAAGGTTTTTTCTACAAGTTATAAGTGCACAATGAAGAACACACACCTCCTTTCTTCTTGTCCCATCCTGCGACCAGGATACCAGCCACAAGGGAATCACGGTAGTTGTAGCAGAGTTCGCGGAATATGGACGCTGCAGTCTGCACTAAGGGCTCTTCACCCAGCTCCATTTTATGGAAATCTGAAAGAAAAGTTATGATTGATTTAGATATTGCTTGACTTATGATGAATCCTTAATATAGATTATCATCTACAAGGGCTTACTTTGTTTGGCATTAAATTACAAATTATAATTTATTTACAATTTCAGCCACTCTAATAGTTAATAGAAATGAATGTAATAAAATAGATCACAAGCTCAAAATGTTTGTAGGAGCCATGTCCAAAAATATTCTAAAGTGATTTAGAACTTCTAAAAATGTCATTTTTCTGTATATGATCAGAGGTGGAATTGTGTAAAGCAATCGTTATCATTTGACAGTTCATAACGTACGATTATTCTGTCAAACGCTTTGTTCAACTGACTTTATCGTACGTTATGAACTGTCAAATGATTACGATCGCTTTACACAATTCCACCTCAGATACCACATAAATCATATGACCTCAAAAATATAGAAAGATCGAAAAATAAACTTACTCAAATGGTATGTAACAATATCAGCTATGGCCTGGGTGTCTGCTGCTGACCCAGACCGGCAGCAGTAGATATGGTCAGTAATCCTGGTCAGTTTGTCAGTGACCCTGTTCGCGATATACGCTCCCGTCGTGGTGCGAGAGTCGGCACCGATCACGACTCCTCCGTTGAACTCGCAAGCCATGATAGAAGTCCCAGTGCTGTGGGTCGCACTCATCCACTCGGTCATGCCTGGATCGGCGTATGTGTTTATTACTGATGCGGCCATACTGGAAACTAGAAATAAAACACCGGTAAAAGTGAAGGATGCAGGAATTTAGGAGATAAGTAAGTATATTGATGAGTTGCTGGGTAATCACTTCTACAAAGCAACCTTAGTAAGTTTAGGTACTAACAGTAAGGTTATAATAAATTCAGACTAGATTTGTAAAGAATAATGAAGACTAATTATTATCAATAGAATTACTTACATTAAAATATGAATTTAGGCAAAGAATTAAGAACAAATTCTGAAAGTCACGATTCTGATTCCGGTACAAAAACGCTAAACAACTGTCAGTGTAACGTCAAACAATAGAAACCAAAGATAGAAACTGACAAATCATTCAGTGCCGTTTTATGCAGCATGCTTTGCAGTTTATGAAATAAAGTATCATCGAATATTTCATTTTAAGATGTTTAAAAATTAAGCGTTCGTTTTATTTCACAATAATTTATGGTTAACTACATTAAAAAAAATATTTTACATTCCAATAAATAAATTCTTACAAATAAAAATATTGAAATATTTATTTTGAAATACGCAGTGAAATGGAACGTGTTTACGTTCCATTGCACGGAGTCTACGTGCTACGTGCATTATATTTTGTTTTAAGTTGTAACACTGTGGTTTAATTATTTTAATTAATATTTTTGGTGAAAAGCAAGTTTGTAGTAAAATATTAATTAGCTATTATCATAAACGATACAGTATTCATTGGTTGCATTATGTGTCGGCAGATGGCGCTAGTTGTAGATAGATTAGACTTTTATTCAGTTGATAGATGGCGGTAGTTACTCATGGTTCTTGCTCGGGGTGTTGGGGTTTAGAAAAACTTTTTATTGGTGTAGGTCTTGGATTCGAATCCCGGGGCAGGACCATAGATTCCTAGACTATGCACGTAAACATTTTTTCAAGTGTTTACAGCTTTAAAACGTAAGATTGGGATTCGTCCCAATTATTGAATAAGGGTTAATAATAGTAAGTAGGTAATTTAATCAGTGTTAAAAAAAGAAAGTTTGATAGTAAATTGACTTTACAATGGATAATAGAGTCTTCAAGTCATAAGAGTTATAGAACTTCGGAGTCCAGATCCTGACAGGAATTTTCGTGTTAACGGACAAATAAACCACAATAATAATAATTTATTCAAATAAAATTCTTCTAAGTACATATTTCACTGTATTCATGTATTGTGTGGAATCGCAAACTGGCAAATATTGTTAAAAATGCGGAGTCAGCATAGCGTGGGTGTCCTCCACTCATTAGCAGTCCTTGTCCCCCAAAAGCGAGTCTTTTGTAAAAAAACTACGCATTCGCCACGCACCATTTTGTACGTCATCCCAAAAACGATGTTTATTTAAAAGTTATAAAAGACCATCCGCATTGAATGAGCTGACGTTTTTGATAAATCACTATTTTATTCGACATATTCATTCAATGGATATAGGATTTATTTATTCATGAAGTTTTCGATTCGCCACCGTTGTTCAAAACGATAGCACGCTCGCGTCTTAGAAATATCGTGGATCGGTATAACTCCCGACTAGTCGGATTCAACGTCTTGATATTTGGTATTTTGAGAATTTTTTATTTTATGTTTTATCGTATTATTATGATATTGCGTGAAAAACAATTTAAGATCCAATTTTTCTTTAGAATGTGTTTTCCTTCTTTTAATACCTAACTTTTATTTGCAAGGGATATTAATTCTCACCAGATTTAAATGTATTTATTGTAAACAGAGCTTATGCCTGCTTTTCGAATTTTGAAACTTTAAAACTATTAAAATACCTACCCACAAATTACTACTTAATTTGTGGGTAGGCTAAAAGCTCCTAAAGCTTGATTCAGTGCAAAAACAGACAATAGTTCCTTAAAAGGAACAAACGGCCAACGGAACTTCTTAGCAAGTATCAAATTTGTCTAAGCCCGGTAGTTTACCGTTTAGCTGCGCAGCAATAAGTAGGCGTATTATTGAGCCCGGCTATGGAAGTGGCTGTCAATCGTTGAATAATGACGCGTGCGGTGGCGACGTTTTGCCATTTATTTATTTTATATCGCGACTCCCCCGCGGCCGAGACAATGGCCAGATGTTGATATTTTTTCTGCATTACAATGTATTTTAAGTTTAACCTTTGTTGGGATACCCTCGTGCCATCAGATGGCATGTCAACCGTGCCGTGATGCGCGCATTTGAATGCAGTAGCTGAAGTCCGTTGGGTTGATGCAAAAAGATGGACTGTTGTTCATCAAACAAATGTTACGAAACTATTGCGATTGAAGGGGATGAAAAGGCTCTGCTAAAGAGTAATAGAAATACTGGTTAATAATATTCACTCACTCATTTATTCATTGTAATTTAGGTTATAAAACGCGACCTCCATCACGAAAGCTCTACTAAGCTTTTATAGAGCACACCATGATAAAGTCACTCAGGTAAAGACGCCAGAGTTTTTGCTCTAAGAATATTTATTTATTTCTGTTTTCACAGTAAATGTAGCTATGTACTTGCGTGTCTAAGTACACATAAAATTATACAAAAGGGACCATAAGTATTGAGAGTATCTCAAGCAATAAGTAATTGTTCTTAGAAACTCGTCAATATCAAAGTGCGAAAAAATTCTCTCAAAGGCATAGTTGATATTGGCTTCACGCCAGTCGCGCAATCCAAACTCAGCCCAAGTTATGAAACCCCACTGTGGACCCCACTCGTGTCTGGGGTCAGATAAATCTAACTAGATATTGCTTACCGATAAAGAGCAGATTTGTTAAGGCTGGGCACGGTCTTATGTGAATGGAAGTAGAAATGGCTCCTTTCAGGAACCATGATCGCTTTGATATAATGATACCTACCTAAGAGAGTTTTGAAGTCTGAAATGAAAACACAATATGTTGTAGTAAGCAGAATCATGTATGAAGGGACTTATCTTGGCGATTCTCGATAGATAGAAGAACAGATTGTAGAGACAATAGAAATAAAAAAATATGAGAAATCTGTTATAGTCCAAGGAAAATTAAAGAAGTTGGCGAGTAGTAGAGACTTTTAAGTTACCTACTTCATCACTATAAAAGCTAATAAAATCACGTATAAAAAACTAAAACGCAAAGCACACAAAATGGACCTTGAATTGCAATTATTCGCTATTTCTTTATACCCTACAACGGAAGATAGACACGTCCACGGTTCATCTCAACTCCAAACATGTCTTCATTTAATGAGATTATCTCCGCTTTTTATCCGGATCTTGCAAACATCGTAATCGTAAAACGTATCTCGTCTAGCTCAGAGACGCTCGCCCTAAATCCGCGACCCCAATGGCGGCCCATTGAGCTTTTTTGTCCATCCCGTGCCAACAAAGGCTTCCCTTTATATAAATTTGATACGATATTTCATTGTAAGCACGCGCCGGACCGCTCGCGAGCATTTTTATATTTTTTTCGTCTATATTTATGTCGGGACAGGGTGGTGGTGTGGGGTGGACGGCGGTGTGAGAGAGGGCGGCTCCTAAAAAGTTATGTATTTTTTCTCCTCTTTTTTCCCATCGACGTGATGAAACGGCGAGCGATATTGATCCGGCCACGTTGGCAGTATGTTATGGCACTCTTGGACGCGAGTTTCCTTTTTATTCAACGGATATTGTTGGCTTGAAGTTGAGACTTGAATCGTTTAAGTTTAGTTCTTCTAGATTTAGGTATAAAGTTCTTTACAAGTATGATAACCACTGATAGGCACATCTAATAAATTCACTGTCGACCTGACATTCGTTTGAAGAATTCTTATTTCTCAATTACTTTAACAATATTAACATATAATATTTTAAACTATTATGTTACCTTAAATTAGTTTGGTCAGCATAAGTAGGTAAATTAGTGAAAGCATTAGCAATATCTATCTATTCCGTGCTAAGCTTAATCCATAGATGTTTTCAGCAAAGTAAGTTTCACTTTTGGGAAAACTTTCAGTCTGAAATCACATGTTAATTGATTTAGTCGAGTTAGTCAAACTCCGATATTAGGTCATTGAGTCCTGAAAAGCCTTTTTCCATAAATGACCTATTTCAAAAAGATTATTTCTCTAAGTTGATTCTGAATTGGTCATTTGTTTCGTACTTGTTAAAACTATTCTTATGGTCACTGAATCCCGAAAAGTCAATCATTTAAATGACCTAAAATCTGTAAATATTATTTCTAAGTTGCTGTAAGTACCAGCCTAAACTGGATAGTGAGGCGCCTGGATGTGCCTGAATGGCACTGGAGCGCGCGCGCAGGTGTGTCGCGGCCATCCTTTATGCGCGGCAAGCTGCGTGCGGACCACGCGCTCGTATACAGGGGGATCCGAAATAGGTCTTATGCCCGTTTTCACCATAAATCCCTAATTTTAAAGTGACCCCTTTGGTAACACATTACAGGAATTTTGTTTTCATAGGGGTCACTTCAAAATTAAGGATTGATTGTGAAAACGGGCATTATTATCTTAGAAATATAGAGCTAATTTAGGAGTAGTTGCCAAATCAGGATGGGCCTTATTATTTTAGTGTAATACAGGCTTAATTTTAAAACAGTTTCAAGTTTTCAGGAAGGATTGTACCATCTCATGTTCGTAAGCATAAACGCTGTGGTTACCTGTACATAGACAAATATTGATTTTTGACACGGAGTTTTGGAAAAGTTTCGTATTACATTAGAAGTTTTTTCTGTTATTTGTAACAGAAGATAGAAAGTAAAAATACTTGTTTGTGTATGAAATACTTATTGCGATTTTTATAAAGTTGTAAGTCCTGAAAAGTCCCATTTCTGCAACAATAGTCATCGAAATTAGGTCAGTTGTTTATTTTATTTATTCCATTTGTTGTTGTAGCAAAAAAACGAATCAATTGTAATACTTATTTGCTTATTCTTTTAAACGTTTCAACTGCGTATGTACCGGATAACTCCTTAAATGTGTTTGCATAATATACATTCGCGAATTTTCTCGTGTAATTATTCTTAAAATTCAAACAAAAAACTATTGTGTCTTGCATATTCAAATCGATAATAATTATTCACGGTTATAGTAATATTTTACGTCATTTGTTGTATCAGTCTTTTTCGTAGTGACGACTGTGAAGTAAAAATAGCAAGTAAAATCCATGAGAATTAGTTTAAAAATAGACTCATTAATATTTATTGTTCATTACCGTGTACTGTTTTACATTATTTGTGGCACTTTTTCAGACCGTGATAGTGACACACATGAAAGAGAACTAAAATGTTAATCATAGAGTAGATTTTAAAAACTAAATATAGGTTTTCACTTGTCACAGGCTCAAAATT